GACTCGACGGCACTTAACAACAACATATAATCAAAACCTGATGGTGCTGAAGAAGTGCAAGCTGCACTTAAAGGAAATGGCAAAAAACAAGGCTCCAGAATTGGGCAGAATACCCACTGAGATGTTTCAACAAACAGATGCAATACTAGAAATGTGAACTCTTTCACACCATGTAATCTGGAAGACAGCTACCTGTCCAACTGACTGGAAGAGATCCACGTCTGTACCTTTACAAAGAAAGGTGATCCAAAAGAATGCGTAAATTATCAAACAGTATTATTAATATCACTTTTTCAGTGGCAATCAGTAGTCTGGTGTGTTGCTGGGCATTTATCTAATTCCCTTCCTTGTGGACAATAACTTTCATGATTTCCAGTTCCTAGCAACAGTCATCATCACAGTGCCCAGGGATTATGAAGGGGATTGCTGAGTCAAGTGAAGGTCTGATTTGAAGCCACCATTTCAAGTCCACTTGTATGAAAGGCCAGTGAGGTAGCTTCCGGTTCACATGGTACTGGATAAACCTTTAAGCGCAACAGTCATTTTGCTTATCTCTAATATACAGGAACCCTAGCTTGTGTCCTGTTTTGTCAAGGCTCTGTAGTGGTGTTCAAACCAGGGACAGCAAAGGGTGCATCCCCTGGGAATGCCAGAATTATCAAAGCTAGGCCTTTGTAACTAAGCACAGGAATTAAGCCTGTGTGGGGCAGAAATTCCAATGTAGTTAGATGAGATTAGGGCAAGGTGTTTGCACACAAATGCATTGGCATTGGGACCCAAATTGAACTGTACTGCCAATGCAAACACTATCTATCACAATGTTATTTGAGAGAGGAGGATTTCTGTAGGTTGACTTTGGGTTAAAACTTTCTGTACAGTTTCTTCATTACTAAATAATGGATGATGACTGTAGTTGAAATGAGATGCAATGCAAAACATGTCTTCTACAAAACTAAACATGCAGTAAAATCTTGAGTCTATTAAAAACACTGTTTTCATAAGGAAGGATGGAAAGGAAACACCTACCATGCCAAGCATGGTCAGATTCAAAGTGACTTTTATTTTTCTGCACACTTTTCAGTTAAAAACAGTTTCCTATAATGAGAATATGTAGCTTTATACTTTGAACCAATGAAAGAGAAGGAAAGAACTCGTTGAGTCAATTCGAACTTATAGTGTTTAACTTCGGTATCATTTGTACTTGCCTTTCCCACACTCAATGTTATGTAAATCTTTTCTCACTTTAAAATGACCGAACCCCAAAACACAAAAAATTCATCATCACAATCACCCTGACTTGCTCCACATGTAGTTTTTAAATCACCAAAAAGGCTTCAAGCCTTTTCCTGCACTAACCAACTAAATTCACTGCCATCAAGTCAATTCCTACTCATAGAGATCCTATAGGACAGAGTATAACTATCCCATAGGATTTCCAAGGTTGTAAATCTTTATGGAAGCAGACTGCCATGCCTTTCAACCACTGAGGTGCTGGGGGATTTGGGGGTTTGAACAATTTACCTTTCATTAACAGCAGAGCACTTTAATGACTGTACCACCAGGGCTTCTCCTTTTTAATACTCTGAAAAGACACTTCAATTTAACGTTATTGATAAAAAAGAAAACATTTTTTAAAACACCCACATGTTGCTAAAGCTTTTTTAGTGAAGATAACTTCTATATAAATGAACCAAAATACAAATACTATTAATCAAAATTCATATCCTAGGATTGAAAATGTATTTAGAGTGAGGAAACAAAAAGTGCGTATTAATGCACAATGGATTAAGGCAGTAATAAAATCCATGTTTACCTTTGATAAGCTTTCTCCCTTAGTAAGCATTTCTGTGTATAAACAGAAATTATGTGTGAAGCTTTCCTCACAATGCTTCCAGTCAAAAGCTCTCTCCAGTGTGTGAGGTCTCATAGGTGTCCTAAGGGAAGGTGGACATTGGATGTGTCCATTGTCTTTCACATTCACAGGATGAATCCACAATGTATTATCTCACATGTTGTCTAAGACTGGAAAAAGATGTGTATATGATCCCAGGTATTCTGCATTTACATGATGTCTCTCCATTGTGACTTCTCATATGTTCAGATGGATTGGTTTTACATATTTGCAAATTTAAAGACTTTGGAGAAACACAAAAATTTTCTCACATTCCTTACACATACATGGTTAGTCGACCATGTACTTTCTTTTAGGTTTGTAAAAAGAAAATGCATCAATGTTATCTTCCAACAATACTTAGATATACATTGTTTACCTACCCTATACCTACCCAGATGTGTCCCATATAATAAACATCTGAAGACTTTCTTACATTCCTTACGTTTGTAAGAACACTGTCCACTGTGAGCATGTTTACAAAGTCAGAAAGAAAAACTAAAGGCTCTACCACATTTTTTATATTCATAGGTGTTTTATCTACTATACCTAACTTTTGTGTTAAGACATATGAAGAACAGCTTTCCCACATTAGTTACATTTGTAAGGTCCCTCCCCACTGGTTACTGATGTTCAATAAGGACTGAAAACTGTCTAAATGCTGTTACATTCATTACATTAATAAACCCACTCTTCACTGTGAGTTCTTATATGTAAAGTGAGGTGTGAAGAAAACTTAAAGGTTTTACCACATTTTTTACATTCATTAGGCCTCTCTCCACTGTGAATTCTTACATGTTTTGTGAGAGATGAGGACTGACTAAAGGCTTTTCCACACTCCTTACATTCGTAAGGTCTCTCTCCACTGTGAGTTCTTTTATGTGTAGTGAGATTTGAGGACTGCGTAAAGAATTTCCCACATTCTTTACATTCATAAGGCCTCTCTCCAGTATGGATTCTTTTATGACTAGTTAGTAATGACAAACAACTAAAGGCTTTCCCACATTCCTTACATTCATAAGGCCTGACTCCACTGTGAGTTCTTCTATGTAGACTGAGGGAAGAGATCTGGCTAAAGGCTTTCCCACATTCCTTACATTCATAAGGCCTCTCTCCACTATGAGTTCTTACATGTATAGTGAGGTACGAGGCCTTACTAAATGCTTTTCCACATTCTTTACATTCAAAAGGCTTTTCTCCACTATGAGTTCTTTTGTGTTCAATGAGATACGAGGAACGATTAAAAGCTTTCCCACATTCCTTACATTCATAAGGCCGCATGCCACTGTGAGTTTTTCTGTGTTCAATGAGGTATGAGGACTGCTTAAAAACTTTCCCACATTCCTTACATACATAAGGCTTCCCTACACTATGAATTCTTGTATGTTTACTTAGGGCTGAGGCTTGACTAAACGCCTTCCCACATTCCTTACATATATATGGTCTCTCTCCACTATGAATTTTTATATGTTTAGTGAGGGCTGAGGAATGACTAAAGGCTTTCCCACATTCTTTACATTCATAAGCCTTCTCTTCTGTGTGAATTCTTGTATGTGAAGTGAGATGTGAGGAACGACTGAAGTTTTTCCCACATTCCTTACACTCATAAGGCTTCTCTCCACTGTGAATTCTTACATGTTTAGTGAGGGCTGAGGAATGACTAAAGGCTTTCCCACATTCTTTACATTCATAAGGTCTCTCTCCACTGTGAATTCTTCTATGTGTAGTCAGATTTGAAGATTGCCTAAAGACTTTCCCACATTCTTTACATTGATAAGGCTTCTCACCACTATGTATTCTTATATGTTCAGTGAGGTATGAAGAACGACTAAAGGTTTTCCCACATTCCTGACATTCATAAGGCCTCTCCCCGTTGTGAATTCTTATGTGTTCAGTAAGGTATGAGGAACGACTAAAGGCTTTTCCGCATTCTTTACATTCATAAGGCCTCTCCCCACTGTGATTTCTTATATGTTTTGTGAGAGATGAAGACTGATTAAACATTTTCCCACATTCCTTACATTCATAAGGCCTCTCTCCACTGTGAGTTCTTATATGTGTAGAAAGGTTTGAGGAATGCCTAAAGACTTTCCCACAGTTTTTACATTCATAAGGTTTCTCTCCACTATGAATTCTTATGTGTTCAGTGAGGGCTGAGGAACGACTAAAGGCTTTCCCACATTCTTTACATTCATAAGGTCTCTCTCCACTGTGAGTTCTTGTATGTGTAGTGAGGTTTGAAGAATGCCTAAAGACTTTCCCACACTCTTTACATTCATAAGGCTTCTCTCCACTATGAATTCTTTTGTGTTCGGTGAGGTATGACGAACGACTGAAGGCTTTCCCACATTCCTTACATTCATAAGGCCTCTTTCCACTGTGAGTTCTTTTATGTGCAGTAAGTGATGAGACACAACTAAAGGCATTCCCACATTCTGTACATCCATAGGGCTTATATCCATTATGAAACTTTTCAGGTAAAATAAGAAATGAAGGACAATTACAGGTTTTACAACATTCTTTACACTGAAGCTTATTATCTCGAAAATGTGTCCAAAAGGATGAGCAACTACAGAAATCTTTCTTGCATTTGTCACATTCATAGTACTTCTCTCCAGTAACTGTTGTCACAGGACTCTTAAGGGATGAGATACAAATGAAGTCTTTGCCACATACCTTACATTTATATGGTTTCTCTCCAGTAAGAGTTCTCAGAGGAGTACTTAGGTAAGAGGGACAAATGCAGGCTTCTCCACATTCCTTAGACTGACAAGTATTCCATCCAGTATAAAATCTGGTATGATGCTCATATGATGAATGCTCCATGAAGGCTGTTCCACACTCAAAGTATTCAAAGGGATTTACTTCTGGAGGAGTCCTTCTTAGCACAGGAAAATCTGAAATCCAATTGATAGTTTTTCCACACTGATAGCCTTCATTACTTTCATGGAGGTTCTCCACTGGGTGCTTTCTTTTAAAAACAGGCAATATACTGTTAGGAATAAATGTGTTCTCATTTCACTATTACCAAACATTGTAAACATTCATGATTTTTGTGTTACATTGTCTCATGTTTCATGTTAAAACATCTAGCAGAAATACTACCCTTACTATTGATACTTTTCTAAAATAAACAGCTTTCTGCTAATTAGGTATATATAAAATGTTTGAAATAATATCTGATTCAGATTTATGAAAATGTTGTACATGTATATGTCACATAACATCTATCTGGAGAACATCCAACTGCTTATATGTACACAGTCCCATTTTTTTTTTTTAAGGGAAATCAGCTCTCCATTTGTTTACTCTATTACCCTAATGGTTTTAAAGAACCCAAAACCAGACTCTTGCAGAACTGGACCACAGCAGGTACAGGCAGGTAAGGCAGAGGACATGGGTCTGGGTATGGGCTCTTGGGATTTGTCCAACAGGCAAGTAGTGGCAGCAGCTGCTCTTTCTCTTTAGGCAACCAGAACAGTGAGCAGTGCTAGGTGGACATTACCTCCCAACCTGCTTGCTTCCTCCTGCTCTGCTCCTTACCTCAACCCTCTCAGGTACTGGGGCTCCTATTCCCCACTCCTCTACCTCTGCGACCAGCTTCAGCAGCAGCAATGGCAACAGTTACAAGAATTTGAAAACAGGTCCCACTGGGTTTTAATATACTATTCATTCAGCATCCAAAACACGTAATGCTCTCTTTCACAGAAGGTATCATGGGCATAAAGTGATGCATACCTGTATTGTGAAAAGTTTCTGACCACTCACACACACACATACTGATGACTTGCACCATGCACCTTAGGACTTCTCCAGAATCACTGTCTTGTTTGAATAACACTCACCTCAAATGAATCCCCTGGTTTGTAGACCAATCTTCACTGCTGGGCAATTTGAAGACTTCTCCTAACATGGAGGACCAGCTGTTATTCTTCATAAGCTGCACTATTATATGTTCACTGGATAACTTTTCACCATTATTAATGTTTTGAGATACTGATCCAATAATTCAAGGTAAGGTTCACAATATAAAACAAAAAGAAAAGGAATTACAAATGGAAATACATTTCACTGTATCAGAACACTGACAACAATTAAAAGTCATTTAGTAGCAAATATTTCCATGAAAAGTGAAAGTGACTTTGACATTAAAAACAAAAACAAAAA